GGAAATACCCTGACCCTCACGGCATTTTTCAAGCTTACGGAGTCTGTGCCAAAGATCAGGGGACCTGCCCCAGGCATAGGGCAGCTGCGCTGTGACAGGGGCTCCCTATGCAGCTACATGGAACATCATCAACTTCAACTGGTACCGCTCGCTTTCCACCTGCAAGCACCTCACTGGGCAGCTGGTCTCCGGCTCCTTCTCCTTTATTCTCAGTTAGCATCCCATCCCCCTGCTTCCCGAGACACAGGGCTTGGAATAAGACGAGGGAGGTGAAGGGAGGGATGGAGGCACTGCCAGGGGCCATCCAATCCCCTCCCTAGCTCCCAGGCTCCCTGCCTGCAGTTTTCCCTCAGTGTTTTCAAGGGTGATTGGGTTAAATCAGTGGTTGGCAAACTGCGGCTCGCGAGCCACATGCGGCTCTGTGGCCCCTTGAGTGTGGCTCTTCCACAAAATACCAGGTGCGGGCGCGCATGTACAGTGCGACTGAAACTTCGTGGCCCATGCACAGAAGTCGGTATTTTGTGGAAGAGCCACGCTCAAGGGGCCACAGAGCCGCATGTGGCTCGCGAGCTGCAGTTTGCCGACCACTGGGTTAAATGGATAAGGAGAGGGCTTAGAGGGGGGCAGGAGTCCTTCCCGAGTGAAAGTGAAGGATGTCTCCTAGGACCCCCTCCCCCCAAACGCAGTGGGTGAGGAAAGGTGAGCGTTAGTTTATAAATAGCCCTTCTCCCCAGCTTGTATTCGATGGCCGCCTCTTACCAGGGCACAGTGGTTTTCATGAGCTTTCCAGAAATGGCTCCAAATCTCCCAAGAGACTATTCTGGTTCCTGGCCAGGCCAGGCGACTCCAGCTGAGAAGCTGCCCCAGCCACTGACGTCCGGGGGAGGAGACAGATGGGAAGGGACTGAATTGGTCCACGTCTTGGAAGAAAATCCACTTCTGGTCCTAAAAGTTGGGGCGAAACAAACTATGTGAGGAATAGGGGTTTTCTGCACCCCAGCCAGGTCCCTGCTGGTTCCTGGAGCACCAGTGCTGCCCCTGAGGAAACTGGGGATGGAAGAGGGAGCCCGCATCCCCCTGCTGCCCCGGCTCCCAGCCTCCTGGCAGGTGCTTCATCACTTTGCTCGCTCGCCCTGTCTTCAGCCTTCCTGAAAAAGGAGATCCCATCCTCTTCCCTCTTCCCACTGTCAGAGAAAGGCCCTTGTTCAGTGTTCTTTAACCCACACGGGCTGAGCTTCTGTCTGCCAGGCACTGTGCCAGGCACCGGGGATGCAGAGACATGAAGAAGGTCTAATGAATGTCACCCACTGTCACACTCCCACCAGTGAGCCTTTCCCCCTCTTAGCAGGGGCCACAGAAGGAGAGAATTTGGCCAAGGCTAATGGAGGAATGACTTCAATCCATAGCCCTTGGTCCAGAACTTTCACCACATTAGCTCAAGAAAGAAAATGTCTTTGCCCAAAGTAGTGGCCTCTACCCCAGGCCACAGGCCACGTTCCTCATGGGAGGCCCAGGCTCTAGGGCAGGGTGAATCTGGGGCAAGGGCGGGTCGGGGAAGAGATTGCCCGAGGAAGAAAGGAGACCAGGGTGGGGTTGGGAGGGGAAGCAGTCTCACCTTGCCTACGGGGTGGTGCCCACCCTGAGTCCCTCAGCGGCCCCTCCTTGTCTATGTTGGGGACATGCCCCCAGGTGGAGCAGAATCCAGGCTCTGGAGCCAGACTGCCTGAGTTTAAATCATAGCTCTACCACTTCCTGTGTGATCTTGGACAAATCACTTAACTTCCATCTACAAAATGGAAATTACTCATAGTCCCTGCTTCATATGGTGGCTGTGAAGAGTAAATGAAATTATGCTGTTGTGTTTGAGCCTCTGAGGCAGGTGACGGCTTCAAGTCCCGGAGCCGCTCTCACTCCCTAGCTGGTGACCTTGGACAAATGACTTAACCTCTCTGCGCTTTCATCTGTAACATGGTGACAATGCCCGGCTGGCGTGGCTCAGTGGTTGAGCGTGGATCTATGAACCAGGAGGTCACGGTTCAATTCCTGGTCAGGACACTGCCCGGGTTGCGGGCTCCATCCCCAGAATGGGGCGTGCAGGAGGCAGCTGATCAAGGATTCTCTCTCATCATTGATGTTTTTATCTCTCCCTCTCCCTTCCTCTCTGAAATCAATAAAAATATATTTTTAAAAAATAAAATGGTGCAATAATAGTACTTACATCATGGTGTTTTGGTGAGGATCAAAGAGAATAAATGTTAAAGTGCTTAGAACAGAGCCAGGAACACAGTAGGTGAAACGTTGACTATAAATTATTACTGCATAATATTGTGTAATACATGCAAAAGAGCCCCGGGCCAGCACAGAGCAAATGTCATTGAAACCTGTCTCCCCGCCAGCCTTCCTCTCACTCTGACAAACTCTCTGCCTTTTCAGGAAGGCGTTGCCCCCAGCATTCAGCTCCAGCTTCAGGAGGTGAAGAGGGACAAAGCCAGCCAGTTCTTTCCGCTGATGGGGAAGCAGGCAGGAGGTGAGTGACAAAGGCGGGCAGCCCTTGGAGGAGTGGTTCTGAGTGGGTCGGTTCACCAAGCCGGCTCCTAGCTTCCAGGCCAGTAGGGGTGGCTCATGCGATGGGGTGGGGTAGAGTGTCCACATAAATGATCCAAACCAGGACACTAGAAGTGTTAACTACACCAGGTAAACTTGGGATGTCTCTGGCATATGGGAATATGGGCACCCTAAGAGTAGAAGTCAATGTTTTGCACCCTCTGGTGTCATTACCTTTGATACTGTGGATGGATTTGGAGCTACAGATCAGCGACTAGATGTGACCCAAGCCACAGTCCAAGCTTTCTAGGTCTATTTGTTTCCGATAGAATTAATTTTTTAAAAAATATTTTTATTGTTTTCAGAGAGGAAGGGAGAGGGAGAGAGAGAGAGAAACATCAATGATGAGAGAGAACCATTGATCGGGTGCCTCTTACACACCCCATGCTGGGGATCGAGCCAGCAACCCTGGCATATGCCATGACTGGGAATTGAACTGTGGCCTCCTGGTTCATAGGTTGATGCTCAACCACTGAGCCACGCTGGCCAGGCTCCAATAGAGTTATTAAAATGAACCTGCGTTCCCTGAGAGGGCCCTCAATGTGGGAGTCATGTCCTGGGGGGACAAGGATATTAGTCTGGACAGAGAGCAGTTTTTTTTTCTTATTGTTAACATTATATGTATATATTTAAGTGGTGTTGGTGAGAGTATGAAAGACCTAGCACTTTATAACCTGTCTATTTAGAGCAGCGGTTCTCAACCTGTGGGTCGCGACCCCTTTGGGGTCAAATGACCCTTTCACAGAGGTCGCCTAAGACCGTTGGAAAACACATACACATATATAATTACATATTGTTTTTGTGATTAATCACTATGCTTTAATTATGTTCAATTTGTAACAATGAAATTGGGGGTCACCACAACATGAGGAACTGTATTAAAGGGTCGCGGCATGAGGAAGGTTGAGAATCACTGATTTAGAGGAAATGTTGACAGTAGTCCTCGAAGTTGGAGTGCGCATCAGGGAATCTATCAAGTAGAAATACGTAGCCCTGAGGGTGTACCTGAGCATTCATTGACAGCATGTCTGCAATGGCAAGAATTTAGAAATAACATAAAAGCCTTCAGTAGGAGAATCTAGTCACCCTAAGAGCAGAGGCAAATGCTTTGCATCCTCTGGAGCCAGATTTACTGAGCCAGAAGCCTAGCTTCCTGGTCAAAATATATCAGGCACATCCATACATAGCCGTTGTGGCCATTGAAAAGGATGAGGCAGACCTGTGGGAAGTTACAGAAAGTTCTCCAAGATACTGGTTAAGTGGAAAAAGCAAGTTATATAACAACATGTATGACAGGAACCTACTTGTTTTTTAAAAAATGACATACAAACATACATACACATGCATAGGGAACATTCTAGGAGGATGATTATCAAATTGTCAACAGTGATGATATATATCTAGGACAGGAAGTGGAGATGAGGGAGAGAGAGTAGAGAGGGACTTTAATTTTTACTATACAAGCCTCTCCATTACATAATTCTTTTTATAGTGGGCAAGTATTCAAAGACTGCTTTTATAATAAAAAATATAAAAATAGAGAAAACCAACTTGTTACCAAACACTTTTGGCCTTAGTTTCCTCAATAAAATGAATTTTAGACCATTTCAGAGTTCTCTTCCAAATCCAACAACCCATGGGAAGCAGGGGATGGGAGTATAAGAGATATTTATTGGGCACCTACTATGCTCACATGTGATTAAATCTCAGAATAGTCCCTTCAGCATGAGTGAGGAAACTAAGGTTCAGATAAGTTCAATGTTTTTGCACAGATGCCCAGGCAGTGCCAGGTGCCAATGACTTCCCACTCCTCCACTCTGCCTCCCCGCAGGAGCAGCCAAGCAGCTCAGCCATACGAGGACAGTGGGGAGTGTCTGCAGTTCCACTGAAGACCCAACACAGGCATTGAGCCCCAAAGAGCCATGAGCCCTTCCCACCTCACCCAGCCCCCAGGGAAGCGGTGCAGCCCTCATTCCTTCTTTCCTTTTTTCCAGGAATACCTCCTATCCAACCAAAGAGAAAAATGGGTGAGTGTTGGCCAGACCTTGCCCTCAACGTGCTCCCTGGGGAGGGTTGAGTCATCCTGGCCTCTAACAAGTCAGGGAGGTGGGGGAGGATCTCTGGCCACGGGCACACATGCCAGGCTGGCATCGCCAAGGGTGGGGCCAGCCGTGGTTTGGCCACATGCTCGGCTCCCTGGTTGTTTCCTCAGACCTGGTGGTCTGTGCGTGCCTAGGGAGTAGGTGCAGGGATAAGGGAGCCGGTTTTGCCAAAGGTTCAAAATTGCCTTGGGGAATTTTTACCTAAAGCCTAGAATTGGAAAAACTAATCAATTCCCCATCTTGCACCCTCAAGGATCTTAAAAGTGCAAATCGGAGCAGCCTAGAACTCTTTGGTGAAAAGGAAAAACAAAACCAAAAGAAAACAACCATCATTTACCCACCCTCTACCTTCCCACCCCTTACCCCCAGTGCTCTCAGGATCAAGACCAATGCCCTAGGACTCACCCACATCCTTCGGGGCTGCCCTCACTGACTTAACTTCTAGCCCCATCTCTCCTTTCCTGACCACCTGCCCTACCCAGACGGAGCTAGTCTCCCTGGCGTGGGCAGGATGCTACCCTTGGCACACCACACTGTTCTCCTGGGTCCCTAGAGTGGAAACCCTCCCACAGGCAGGTAGTAGGTCTCTCACTTTCCTAACAGAACACCTACTCCTTCCAACATAGGCTCTTGGCTATAAAGATGGGGGAAATCTTCTATTTTTCCTCCAAGATTTTTTTCTAAGTGTTTGAGCCATTCCATTTGAAGGGCCATGGGAGTCACCCCAATACCAACATGGAAATGAATGTCCCTCATGCAGAATGTGGGCAGAATGCTACGTCATCTTTCAGTGAGCCGGTAGCAGAGCCAGACCTAAAAGCTGTGCCTCCTGTTTCCCTGACCAAGGCACTTTCCATACCCCCGGGAGGGCCTCTGGGATTTTAAGTACTGGCTTACCACTTCCCTTCCTTTACAAGGATAACTGAGGGTTGGCTCTGTCCATGCTCTTGAGGCACATACGACTGAATAACAGAAGATATGGCAGGTGAGTCTGTAATTGGGTCACCCTAGATATCTACAGCCAGAAACACGAATTAGGCAAATGGAGGGCCTTGTGTGGAGTGACTAGGGAAGGCTCCAAGGGTGGAGGAGCCAGGCAACCCTCCCTTAACCACGGTCCACGTACAAAACTCTTCCCAGGCAGAGGATGAGGACCACGGGCCAGAGTGAGAGCCCCCTTCCCATGCTTCCCAGAGGATGAAAACCCTCCTCCGTACCTGGACGCGACAGCTGACGAGCCGGCCAGGCCAGCCCTCTTCTCTGTGTCTGTCCTGTGCTCAACGCCGGCATGTCCCGCGAGGCTCGCAGTGAACACCGTGGGGCTCCTTCCAGGACTCTCGGGCTCAAGAAGCCGTCGTGCATAAATGGGCACTGTTGTCAGTCTCATGCTGGAGTGACCTTGTCCTCCCTCAGTTATTTCATTGCGTAGCAGGATGAGTCTGCCCCCCACCCCCCACCCCTTCTCTATCTCCTATGCCCAGAGCATAGTAGGGGCTCAATAAATGAATGGACAGTGATGGCTTCTTCTCTAGTACAGGGCAGAAGGCATACGTGGCCTGGGCTCTGCACCATGCCCAGCAGTTTGTCACATCAGCAGGCCAGGCCTTTCCCAGAATTGCGAAGGGCAATACTAACAGCCCTGGTCCCCACCCTTGAATGGGAAAACAGGTTTGCAACACAGGTAAGGGCAACAGCCCCAGCCTGAACGCAGACACACTCTGCCGACTCAGTCATGATCTCAAGGACCCAAATCCATGTGTCTTCTGAGTTGGAGAATTGGATCCCCGGTCCTTCATCCATTCTCTTGTGGAGGGTAACTGCTGGGCTATGGGGACACAGGCACTCAGTCATTCCCTGGGCATTCAAATGAGCTCCAGAGGAGTAAAACACCACCCCCCACCTCCCTCCGGCCCCCAGGGAGCCCCAGTCTGATGGGGAGACCATTGTCCCTGTGGTTTATAGGCAGGTGAGACACAGAGGACCCCAGGATGCTTAGAAAGGGGCCTATCAACCAAAGTAAACTCCTAGAGGGCACACTTAGGTAATAAACATCAAGGTGTTGAATGAGTTGTGAGCTCTGTGGGTTCAGCAGTAAAGGAGGTTCATCAATTCACTAGGCTACATAACATTGACCATCTGTGTCCCTCTCCAAAAAGAAGGAACTGGGTGATGTTTTAGGGGATCTGATTCTTGGGGGGACAGGGTGGCACTAAGCTACTTAAAAAGAAGGGAAGCCCTAACTGGTTTGGCTCAGTGGATAGAGCGTCGGCCTGCGGACTGAAAGGTCCCAGGTTCGATTCTGGTCAAGGGCATGTACCTTGGTTGCGGGCACATCCCCAGTAGGAGGTGTGCAGGAGGCAGCTGATCGATGTTCCTCTCTCATCGATGTTTCTAACCCTCTATCCCTCTCCCTTCCTCTCTGTAAAAAATGAATAAAATATATTAAAAAAAAAAAAAAAAAAAAAAGGAAGGGAAGATGAGCCCTGGCTGGTGTGGCCCAGTTGGTTGATCAGGTAGGTTAAGTTCCAAAAGTCTGCCGCCACCCTCCCCCACACCCAACCCCAGCATTCTGGTCTCTCAAGAGGCTCTTTCCAGGGCACATGCCCTGGTTGCGGGCTCGATCCCCAGTAGGGGGTGTTCAGGAGGCAGCTGCTCAATGATTTTCTCTCATCATTGATGTCTCTCCCTCTCTGAAATCAATAAAAAAATATTTTTTTTAAAAAAGAAAGCATATCCCAAGAGGAAACTCCACACCCATTAAAGAGTATGCCCCCCCCCCCCGCCCCCATCCCTGGGAATGAGGAAAATGTTTGGGAACTAGATAGAGGCCAAGCTTGGACGACATTGGGATGTACTAAATGCTACTGAACTTTAAAATGGTTAATTGTTATGTGAATTTTACCTCAATAAAAAAACTCATCACTTAAAAAAAAAAAAGAGGCTCCTTCCAGATCAGATTACTCCAGGAAATGTTACATTCTGTCTCTTCCTCATGGAAACCCCAAGAGGGAGGCTTTGAAAAACCATGGAAACAAGGAACATACTGATATCCAACTTCAACTCGGTGTTTCCAAGTATCCCCTTTGCCGATAGTACTGCTTTGTGTCTAATGGACACACTTCCGGGGATGCTGGAGGCTTTCCCAGTAGAAGCAGGAAAGGGGCTGGAGACTGGTCTGGTTGCAGTGAGTCTGTGTGTAGGGGAATGACGAACACTGTTAGATTGAGCCAGCTCAGGGGAAAACCTGAAAGCCAGAATGAGAACTTAACCCAATGAGCAATGGAAAGCCAGGCCAATTCTTGAGCAGGAAAGTGACCAGCCATGTCTTGATAGTAGAACAGTCACTTTTCCTGATCCACTTCCACAAGGAGGTAGCCAAGAATTCCAAGGCCAGGCAGGGGCTCAGAAGCAGTTTGACTTGACAAGCTGAGATGTGCTGAATGAACAAAGGGGCTGCAGTGGCTCTGAGGGCCATTAAATGGAGTATGAATAGTACCCCCTGGATTTACACAAGATGGTGTCCCTTTTCTGGGCACATCTGGCTTCCAATCACAGGAAAGCAGTTAATGGAACTGACAAGGCCAAACTGAATCCCAGCCCTTTAGTTTCAACAGTCCTCTTCTTTGACTTACCTACTGCTGTTATCAAACCATCCGAAGACCATTAATGGCTTAAAACAGCATTTCTCACAATTCTCTAGGTTGGCAGGACTCAGCTGGATGTTTCTGTACCATAAGGTATCAGCAGGGGAGGCTGTGTTCAGCTGGGAGGATGTCATTTGAATTTTTGGTGCTGTTGGCTGTAGCATTCAGTTCTACAAATGGTCTCTTATTTAGTCCCTCACAAAACATTCAGTTCAACTCAAGCTTCCGGTTTGGGAATATGTCATCTGGTTTCCAAGAGCAAAAGTGGAAGCTACCAGAATATTAATTCTGCCACATTTTTTTAAAAAAATGTTTTTATTGATTTCAGAGAGGAAGGGAGAGGGAGAGAAACATCCATGATGAGAATCACTGATTGGCTGCCTCCCCCTCTACTCTACCCCCCCCCCCCCCCCCAGGAGCCCGCAACCCAGGCATGTGCCCTTGACTGGAATTGGACCTGGGACCCTTCAGTTCACAGGCTGATGTTGTATCCACTGAGCCAAACCAGCTAGGGGTATTCTGCCACATTTAATGAGTCAGAAGTCCAGCCCACACAGGAGATGGGACACACTGGCCGTCTCTGGAGGTGATGTGCTGCTCCTCCTTTGTGAGATGAGTGTAGGTTTCTAATAACATTGGAACAGAGTAAATATAAAGTGAGCTCTTCCCAGAAACAAATACCCAGTTAAGACGAATTTCTTGGAATGAACATGGTTTGTCAAGAACAAAGGTGTTTATATCTCACACAGATCATCTGAGGGCAATGGAGCCAAAGTTGTGCAATGGCACAGGTTATTTTCTCCACTCTTGGGCACAAATAAACAACCCCCAAGCCCCGACGCAGTGGTGGCATGGCCTGCATCTCTAAGTGTTGCACAAGACGCAAGGTATTTCAGCACCGGGGACACCATTCATCACTGGACGGTCCTTTGTTTCTTCCTTAGTAACATTTATTGGTGTTCGTTGAAGATGCCACAAAGGAAGTAGGCAATTATACTGCCCCCAACACTAGGAAGCAGTCTTGGGATGTCACACAAATCTGTATCAAAAGGTGCTGAGGTCGCCCTACCCGGTTTGGCTCAGTGGATAGAGCATCAGCCTGTGGACTGAAGGGTCCCGGGTTTGATTCTGGTCAAAGGCACATGCCTGGGTTGCGGGCTTGATCCCCAGTAGGGGGCATGCAGGAGGCAGCCAATCAGTGATTCTATATCATCGATGTTTCTATCTCTTTCCCTCTCCCTTCCTCTCTGAAATCAATAAAGATATTTTTTTTAAAAAAAGGTGCTGAGGTAAAACCAGTGGAGATCCAACTGTCATTGCATGATCCCAATGCATAGCTAAAATGGTTTCTAAAATTCTAGAATTCCTAGCACACATCACATTTAGTTTCCATTAACAAGCAAAACCCCGGTACAGAGTTTTGAGCATATGTGCACCTGCGAGGCTGTAGGAAACGAATGTTCAAAGCCAGCGAGACAGGCCTCTCCCTACTTGTCATTTTCCCTCACTGAATGAGTTACCTGAACCTGCACACACCAAGAACTAGCTGTGTCTTTCAGTTTGTGAAGGCAAGCAGGAGCTGGATCCCTGCTTTCTCAAACCAGAGTACTTTATTTCCTAACCCCCGTCCAGGAATGGACTTCAAGGGCTTAATTTTTCAGCTATACATGAATGTGTGCAGTTTCATTATGTGAATTTTAAAAAAGACTCAATACTTACATTTTCAAAAGCAAGGATCACTGCTGAGCTGAGGTGCTTGATCTTAGCACCTCTCATAAACAAAGTCTCTTTAATGTCATTTGGCTTCTCACGTGCTCTTCAAAGACAGGCAGGCGTGTTTAGGACCACCCTGAAAGTCACTTGGCTCCAAATAGCCACTTCTCACTTGTTTCATATTCCAGGAGGAATGTGTACTGTAAGCAAGCTGTAGTCTATTTTCCTATACTGGCTTTTCATATATAGTTTCAATCTTGACCTTGAACTTCATTTGAGGACATTCCTAACCCCAGCTAGGCCTGCCCAGAACGAAAGGGATAAACCAAAGCTGAGGACAAGTCAAAGCATCATCTTGCTATATCAAGGGCACCCAATGTTAAAAATTAAATGACTCGCCGAAACCGGTTTGGCTCAGTGGATAGAGCGTCAGCCTGCGGACTGAGAGGTCCCGGGTTCGATTCCGGTCGGGGGCATGTGCCTGGGTTGCGGGCACATCCCCGTGGGGGATGTGCAGGAGGCGGCTGATCGATGTTTCTCTCTCATCGATGTTTCTAACTCTCTCTATCTCTCTCCCTTCCTCTCTGTGAAAAATCAATATATATTAAAAAAAAAAAAAATTAAATGACTCTATTCCCTGATGAGAAATGGGAAGCCAGGAACAGAGGCTACCAGACAGCACTGTCAAGTATGGAACTTGGAATCTGAGAAGCAGGGCTCTCATTCTGTTGCTGCATCTCAGCAGCAAGACCTGAGTTGCAATTTTCTCATGTGGAAAAGGGACAGAATACCCACCTTGCAGTGATGTTGTGTGAGGACTGAAGGAAACCACGTAAAGGGAGGGCTTAAGGAACAGTTTATTCCTAAATCAGCAGCAGAGCCAGAATGGGCACAGCTTTTACTTCCTGGGTTAGGTCTCTGGCCCCCACCTGCTGCTTATAGAATCAACTAAGATCCTTTGTCCAAAAGTTTTCACCAGTTCCATTATTTTTTCTGCAGTGGAAGCCACTAGAAGCATGGGAGCTTGTGGCTAAAGCAAGGAAATCTAACTAGGAGAGGATCAGTCAGGAGCCAGATCCAGCAATAA